ACTCCAAGGAAGTAATTAATATAATGGGAGGGGCTATGGAGCGCTATTATAAGCTTACGTTGTTGGCTTTACCACCATGTAATGTAACTCAAATTCACTTTTTTTGTGTGACACTTAGACCTACTTGATGCAAATGCTCAGTCCCATGGGACCCTTGCGCTCCCCTGTTGTAGACAACCTTTTGTGACATAATATCCTTTTTTTGTGGAGTTGGTCAAATATGATCAGTGGTATCATCAGACTGGGTTTTATTTTTGACTTTATGGAATCAGTAAGCACTTTAAAGGCAAATTCATTAGTACTATGACCCAAAAGTTTTTCCTCGAAGTATTCAAGAAAAAAAATGGTAGACTTTTCTTGTTACATTAATACTGCAATACCAACTAATGTTCATGGTAATTACAAGAATTTTATGAGTTAGAAATTGAGAATGATCTGTATTGATTTTCCTTTACAAAATATTGAACGAATGATCCTGTATGCCTTTAAGCCCACCTAACTTGAATGCCACACAACAAGAATTTAAAACTCCATTTTTTTTTATTTAAAGGGAATATACAACATTTGCAAACATCGAAAAATAAAACTACCAAGTTTTTGCGAAATACCTTAACAGGATGTTGGTAAATGACAGTCTAAAGCATCCTGTAAAATTATGGCACCTGGTATACTGTCATTTTCAAGAAAAGTGGTATTTTTGTATCAATTTCCAACGCTGATCGGCCGATCAGCGTTGGAAACAACTGGCTTTTTTTCAAATACTGGCCCCAATTGACCATTGCACTTGTTTGCAATCGATTACAAACCTATGAACGGGTACGAGCAAGCTAGACTGGTTCCCTGACCTTACAATTCCCCAATGTATGTAAACTGCTCTGTTTCTTCTTATATGGAGTCAGGGAACCAGACTACAGGAAAATGATCGTTTTTCTTGGTTTTTATAGCATTTTCGAACCCAAAATCTCCAAAAAGTCAGTGTAACTATATTTGCTTTATATTTCCAACCCCCCAATTCCATCCATTTCTGAAAATTACAGCAAAAGCAAATGATGTATATTCCCTTTAAGTAATGTTTTTGAAATAATACACTTGAAGTTATTACTGAATACGACTTTTGTTTATCACAGGCTGGTGTCTTTGCTTCACAATCTTCACTTCCTATTTTGAAGATCAGACGAGTAGGTCTGCTGACCGCTGTGCTAACAATTAACATGCTACTATGGCTCATAAATGAAGGGGTAAGTCAATAGCCGTTACAGATTTGTGTCATAAGAAATGCAATGAAGTGACTAGCAAATTGCCATATGGGCTTAGTCTTGGTAATGGACCAACTTGGAAAAGTTGTTGTTTTAATATGTACACAATATGCAAGTAGAAAAAGTGAGGATTACCTCTGTTTTTCCTTATTCCCTTATTGGCTGTTTCAGCATAGTTGTTGGAAAAGCCTTTGTTTTTCTGGCCCCCGACTTTGGCACTTTTTAAAATCCGATGTACCTCTAACTTGGCACACTGGTAAACCACCATCTAAAGGCATGCCACGAATCATGTGGTTGCCCTAGCGTATCTTCTGGTTCTTTTCAGAACCACACATACTCACAAAAGAGACTACCAGTAGGTGTAAGGGGAGGGTACCAGACTTTACCATAGGTGTGGGTAGTGGTACAAGACCAATATTTTGAAATATAGACCCTTTTTTGGACCCGCAATGGAGGACACCAGGCCAAAACATCACTCTCCCATCAGACAAAACCCTCAGGAGAGGGGTACGGCGCCAATCCCCAAATATCTCTCGTATTGAAGATCTCTCTCACTGGCCGATGTGTCTAATTGCTTATAAATCCAAAAGTCTGACCTCTTAAAAAAAATTAAAAAAAAAAATTGATATAAGGCCAAAAAAAAAAATAAGTCGGTCTCTGGTCAGCGCGCGCGTCGATTTTAATCATGCGCGTCGATCTTTTTTTTTCCCAAAATGTTCCGCGGTAGCTCCAACAGCGCCCTCTATTTCCGCACCTCCTCAATTTTTTTTTTTACCAAAGAGCACCAAGGAATGGGAAATTGCACCAAGGCAAATGATCGAAAGCACCAAGGCAAATTATGGAGGACACCAATGTACATGAGGACACCAAAAAAGCAAAATAGTACCCACCTTGTCTGTACAATCCAAGCTTGAAGAAAAAAAAAAAAAAAAAAAAAAAAAAAAGCCGCGTGGCCGCGTCAATTCCGGAACTTTGGTCTGACCAGAGACCGAATATTTTTTTTTTTTTGGCCTAAATGATGAATACGTTCAAGCCAATCGTTAAAGGGTTTTCTAGATGGAATAAAGCCACGCTGCGTGATTACGTCCAGCGATATAAAATACCGTACAATCGAAATGCTTATCTTTCTCGAAAAGTCTACATCGACGGGGTAAAAAACTACGAAGCTCAATTTAAAAACTTGAGGAAAAAGACACTACATGAGCTCAAACAGATTGTAGACGATTACGATCTAGAATTTACACCGACGGGTTATAATGGTCGATTTTTGAAAAAAGATTTACTCTCAGCGATTCAAAATTCTAGGCAACCTGAATATTTTCAAGAGGCTAAGTTTAGAGCGACGAGGAGATTCAGAAACAACTTTAGAAACTGTGAACTGATTCCTAGACTTTTTAACGACGATTTAGTCAGATTTTTTGATACGCACAAAGATCAAATTGTAAATAAAATTTGTCGGAATTGAGAGAGTTAAGAGGTTTAAAAGTAGAACTTGTGATCAAAATAAGATACGAAAAAACCAAACCGGATGGTACGATCGAAACGATTGAAGCTATTCATTTTAACGATCAGAGAGTCGTTTTAAATCAAAGTCAAATAAAACAGGTTTTAAAAGAAGACATCGACCAGCTATTTAGAAAGGATGAAAGGTATACGAATCAAGGATCGGGTTGGGTTTTAAAAAAGATAATGGCGTTGTACATCAACATCAACAGGTTTAATCCCGTGAGGGGTAGTTCTTACATAGACCTACCAAAATGTATCAAACAGAAAACGGCAATGATAAACATTAAAAACAAAGACGACGAGTGTTTGAGATGGTGTTTGAGAGCGGCTCTTGGCTTGTATACGGATAAAGTAAAAATAAATAAAAAACGATCCTAAATATAAAATTCATAAAGAAGAACCGGTTGTATAAACCAAAGACGACGGACTCAAATTTAAAGGCGTAGACTTTCCAACACCGATCGACCAGATACCAAAGATAGAAAGACAAAATAATTTAACGATAAACGTATACGGTTATGAGGGGGAAATATATCCATTTTATTTCGAAATCTCGTGAGAGATTCCGTGAGATCCCGCCACGCGGATGCGCAGTCATTACGCCACAGCGCGCGATAGCGGAAACCGCTGTCATTTTCTTCACGGAGTGAAATAATTATTTGTATCAAATACTTCACTTCGTTTTTTGTCCTTTCTTAATCTTCGACGGAAGAATTGTGATCCATGGTAACCATGGACAAAAATAAGGAAAAAACTGACGGCAAAAAGACGCCGAACAAGGCAGCGGTGTGCTCACCGACTGCTGCTTGTGCAACGGAATGCAGGTCAACTCGTACGCGAGCCAACTCGTACACGACCAACTCGTACGCGGGACAACTCGTACGCGGACCAACTCGTACGCGGACCAACTCGTACGCGGACCAACTCGTACGCGAGCCAACTCGTACGCGAGCCAACTCGTACGCGAGCCAACTCGTACGCGTGAGTATAGACAAGCAGCCGTAGCACAAGGGATTTTACTGAAACCGTAGGTTCGGGTGTGTTGGAAATTAGGGTCGGTCAGTTGTCCGGCACATTCTTTTTTCCTTAAGTCAAGGGGATTATTTTGTGTTACTGAGTAGTCCCAAATTCCCAATTAGTTCATCATTAGTTCATGGTTGGAAGTGCATGCCGCGGCATTGCACTACCCATCGATCGCAATTAAAATGGATCATGTTTTTTTTTTAATTTATCATTGAAACTTTTGAACCTGAACATAGTTGCATTAATGGAATTTAAAATTGTTGAAAATACATATGGCTACAATCACAGTCATTCAGTCATACAATCAGACCACTGTGATAAATCGTTAACTTTGGCGTGTGTTTTGGGGTATAAACTTCAAGTTGGCGATCGTCCGCGTACGAGTTGGTTTGCGTACGAGTTGGCCCGCGTACGAGTTGGCCCGCGTACGAGTTGTCCTGCGTACGAGTTGCCTGGCGTACGAGTTGCCTGGCGTACGAGTTGTCTCGCGTACGAGTTGACCAATCCGCGTACGAGTTGTCTCACGTACGAGTTGGTTCGCGTACGAGTTGTCCTGTTTCGGTGCAACGACACCGTGCAGCAGTACGGGCATGACCACGAGTACTGCAACAAGCACGCCTGCATGTACAACTGCACCGACCGTGACAAAGTCGCGCTCAAAACCGAAAGACAGTGCGAGTAACTCGGACTCTTCTCAGCCAAAAAAGGCCTCACAACATCCTCGGAAGACCAAGGATGATACTGGTATGTCAACCAGACTCACATGCCTTGAGGAATTACTGGCAAAACAAGCCACCGAGAGTCACAATTTCCAGGCGATGATCATGGGTGTCATGGCGAATTTTAACATGGCGGCCGGCGCTTACTCCGACATGTCTGAGTGCGGCGGTGACGATGATCATGCAAGTACTTATTCAGCCTTTGCGGCCGTGAATATTAACTCAAATGTCGATTTTTGGAACAGTCTGAGGACATGAACACATCACCAACTGGCCAAAATATGGTTTCCCCTGTGGACATGGTGGACACAGACTCGGAGCATAATGCTAGGCCGAGTAGTGCTACTGCTACCACCAGCAGTGCAGAAACGAGTATGAGCACTAGTGACAGTACTACACAGGGGTGTAAAAACTCAGCTTTAAAGCTGATTTCAGCTTTTTTTGTTTTGGATTTCAGCTTTTTCCCCCTCACTTGCTGTGTACAAAAGTATTGGAAATTTCCAAAGTTCAGCTTTTTTACACTTTTTTTTCAGCTGTTTTCAGCTATTTTGATCAGTGGTCACTCACACCCCTGACTACAAAAGCCAAAGGTTTTGCAGCGAAATTTACTGCTCCTTCTGTAGTGGATAACCCCATCAAAGAGGATGTAGCGAATAGTCTGAACTTCCTTATGAGGGAAAAGCTCGAGGAGAAAAGCCTCACCGACACAGCTGAAAAATATCAGTGTCCTAGTAACTGCGACGCTCTTACTGTACCAAAGGTTAATCCTCAAATATGGGACAACATATCAGCTAAAACCCGCTCCAGGCATTTGAAACTGCAGAGAGTGCAGAAGCCACTCATCAAAGGGATTACAGCCCTGGCTCAATCTTGTACTGGCACACTGACTGCCGAACAGGAGGATGGCTACGCATTGCTGGCATCAGCCAATGTTGAACTTAACAGTTTGCGAAAAGAGCTCATCCGACCTGACATGAACCAAAAATATGCTCACTTATGCAAGCCGTCCACAAAAGTGACCCAATTGCTATTTGGTGATGACTTGGGGAAACAGCTAGGTTAAAGAACTCCAAGAGGAGCAGAAAGCCACACTTGGCGTGATGCGCTTCACACGACAACAACGAGGGGGGGGGGGGGTTTCAACTCTACCATCCCTACAGCACTGAAAACAGACGCTTTCAGGCTGCAGGCTAGAAAACCAGTGGCAGTGCCACGTGCCAGTGCCCCCTTTTTTTAGGGGGAAACCGTCAAACCGTTGCACCGTCGTCCATTCGGACCTGCGGCTCACAATCAGCGAAGGACCCGGTCAGTCCCGAACCTCAAACATGTAAAGAAGACGTCCTAAGTGACATAAGACCTACTGCAATGGAGGTAGGTACGTATATTGTTGATGTACCCTAACGTGGCGCGGCCCCTAACGTGGCGCACTTTGATTTTTCGCCTGTAGCGCCTAGCTAGAGCAAAATTTTTAACTGAAATTTCACAGAGAGTGAAATTTCATCAAGTTCTAAACACTCCCGTTCATAAATCGCGAGTTTATTTACCCGTTACAAAGTTAAAAGAAAAAATCATTTTGGCGTGATTTTCCGATTTTATTTTCAAGTGCAAAGTGAACCCTTTGAAAATGCCCCGAAAAATAAGAAAATAATTTTCTGACAAACATCTGGCTGGGTTTGTAAGTAAAGATAATAATGATTTATCAGAATTTATCAAGTTTACAGAAATTCTTAAATGTTAATTTGGAATTTTCTGAGATTTATTCAAGTGCGCCACGTTAGGGAACACTCCGCCAATTTGTGCCCAATTTCCGGACGCGACCGTCTTTGCATGTCGGATTACATTTTATGAAACCGAAATTGTTCACAGAGGTTAAATAGCAAGCATTAATAAGGTAAAAGTACCAGTATTTCACTGCATGAATTTGAGGTTTATCAACAAAGAGGTTTGGCAACACTACACGAGGAAAGTTGGATAAGCTTCGAAGTGCGCCACGTTAGGGAACACGACTATACAGGCCAAAATTCTGAATGGATTAGGGGCCGTTTGGGGCTATATAGCAGTGAATGGGAAAAACTTACTTCAGACAAAGTTATCCTGCAAGCAATTAAAGGGTATCATTTGGAGTTTTTGGGAATTTATTATTTTCCTCAACAACTTTACACTCCACCTCCGTACAAACTAACATTGGAAGAACAATTCAGTGTTAATGAGGAAAATAGCAAGCTTATCAAGAAGGGTGTCATTGAACCCACTTGCTATGAAGATGGACAGTTTGTGTCCAATATTTTTACCCGCAAGAAAAAAGATGGCGGAGTGAGAATCATACTGGATCTCTCAAACCTCAACAAGACTATTGTGTATAGACACTTCAAAATGGATACATTTGATAACAGCAAAGAACCTCAGAACAAGAAACTGCTATATGGCCTCATTGGATCTCAAAGATGCGTACTATTCAATACCCATTTCTCTAGAATGCGGGAAATATCTAAAGTTCATGTGGGACAATAAGCTCTATCAATATAGGGTTCTGCCAAATGGATTGAGTTCTGGGCCACGTTTGTTCACCAAAATCATGAAACCCCCATTTGCTACACTGCGGGGCATGGGACATACTATTACCGGTTACATTGATGATACTTGAATTGTTGCACCATCATTGAGTGAGGCCGAGCGATCTGTGCAACTTACTGCCCAAATCCTGCAAAACTTATTTTAAGTTTTTAGGTTTTATTATTCATCCGGTCAAATCAATGTTCACGCCCTGTCAGGAGATTGAATATTAGGGATTTATTATTAATTCCAAAGAAATGACAGTACGCCTCCCTGACTCAAAGAAACAAGATATCAAGGCTCATGCCTGTCTGCTCTACAGGCCAAAAAGCTTACCATTCGGCATGTGGCCACACTTGTAGGCAAGGTGGTTGCCTCTTTTCCCGGGGTACAATATGGGCCGTTACATTACCGCACTTTGGAAAGGAAAAAAAAAACAGCCCTCGGAGAGAATTTTTGCCATTTTGATAGACAGATGTGTTTGTCAGGCACGGCTCATGAGGAGTTGCATTGGTGGCTTCAGAATGTTGACAGTTCATTTTCCACCATTTCCAGAGGTAAACCTGATTTAGAGTCTGATGGGTCTACCCATACTGGGGGACGTTGGAAGGCCAGTGAAAGTCTGAAATCAGAGGACGTTCACTTATAACTATCTTGAACTTCTTGCAGCATTTTTTGCTCTGAAATCTTTCTGTGGGAAAAAGCAAAACTTGCACGTGAGGTTGAACATTGATAACACAACAGCTGTTGCCTACATAGCACACATGGGCGGCTCCAAGTCTGACAGTTGCAATTTACTGGCAATACAGTTATGGAACTGGTGTATAGACAGGGGTATTTGGGTATCTGCTGCCCATTTACCTGGGGGTACAGAACACTATAGCAGATAGAAAATCTCGAGAGTTCCAGGATGAAAAAGAATGGATGCTAAATGGGGAGCTTTTTAATCAGTTGTGGGAACGGGAAAGACCAGAGATTGATCTCTTTGCTTCCCGCCTAAATTCACAGCTTTCGGGATTGATATCATGGAATTGATGGAAACCAGACCCAGAAGCAGAGGCAGTTGATGCATTTTCTGTAAGCTGGGAGTCCCTAAAGTTCTATGCGTTCCCTCCTTTCTGTCTAATAGGCAGATGCCTTAACAAAATTGCTGCGGATAACGCGGAAGGGTTCATGATAGTTCCCAAATGGCCTACCCAGCCCTGGTTTTCGCAACTGCTAAATATGCTGATTGAGCCGCCAGTGCTATTACCAAAGTCACACAATCTCCTCATACAGCCAGTGACTGCAACCCAATTAACCATAACCTCCACCTCCTTTGTTGCAGACTGTCCGGCGATCCTTCGAAGGCAGAGGAATTCAAGAGGCAGCTACCAACATCATCATGTCATCCTGGCGACAATCCACCCAGAAACAGTACAGTGGGTACATCAAACGCTGGATTGACTTTTGCAGTAAGAGGGCGACAAATCCTATGCACAACAAATTGCCGTCCACATTGTTACATATTTAACTGAACTTTTTAATGTTGGGCTTAGTTACAACTCGTTAAATGTTGCACGTAGTGCTCTTTCATCGTTCGTTGTTTTAGAGGGTTATTCTGCTGTTGGAAATCACCCCTTGATCAGCCGTTTTCTTAAAGGTGCATACACACAAAGGCCCCCTGCACCAAGATACAGTTCAATTTGGGATGTTCCAGTTGTATTTGACTATCTGCGCCGACTGTCTCCAGCCGGCACACTGTCCCTCAAAGACCTGACCCTCAAGTTGGCAATGCTGATTGCCTTGGTGACAGCACAGAGAACACAGACTCTGCACAAACTGCGTCTGGACATGATGCAGCTTAAACACGACGTGGTTATCTTCACCATTGCCGACCTGTTAAAGCAAAGTCGCCCTGGCAATACTGGACTGGTGGTCACCTTGAAAGCATATCCACCAGACAGGCGTTTGTGTGTTCACACCTACCTAAAACAGTATCTTGCTCGGACTGAACACCTACGACGCAAGGAACATACCACAGAGCAACAGCTTTTCATCAGTTTCAAACTCCCCCATGCTGCTGTTAGCAAGGACACCGTTGCTTGGTGGTTGAACACAGTGCTGCTCCAAGCAGGAGTCGATACATCACAATTCAAGGCGCACTCGACACGAGCAGCGGCAACGTCAGCTGCTCATAAATTGGGAGTGCCAATTTCAGACATTTTGAAAACTGCAGGGTGGGCGACAGAAACCACCTTTCAAAAGTACTATAACACTCCAAAAATGGCACACAGCCTGCTTTCCAGTTACGATCCAACTTAAGAGGAAAGTCATGCATTCGTGCTGGCTTGAATACAGTCATGAGTTTTATTAACAGTTGTTTTTGAACAAGTTTGTTGTTTTTCTAAAAATTTACAAAAGGGAGACCCCAATGGTGAGCTGTTGTGCTCACATTTTCAGATAATATGGAGTTTTCAGGTATTTGCCAAGTTTATTAACATAAGACACATACAGTGTACATGTATGTCAATTTGTCTTGCCTCTTGCCCAGGATAGGCAATAAATAATTGAGGAATGTGTACCAACATAGTGTTTCCCTGAACATGAAGGTTTGAGTGCAGTGAAATTAAAGAAGTAAAACAGCACTATAACACAGCTTTGGTTTCATTGCAGTTTTGTTTATTACATTTATGTGTACACATCAAGACCATTCATGTTAAACACCCTTTGTTTATCATTTATGTGGGCAAGATATTTGACCAGATGCTTTAAAGTCTCACGGAATCTCTCGCGAGATTTCGAAATAAAATGAAGGGATTAAATGAGAACTTACCCTTACTCCCACCCTTTTTCAATAAACAGGATCAGTTCTCTATATTTATACCTTACCATGGGATTCGGTTTTTATTTGATCTCATATCCTTATGCTTTTAATAATGACTGCGCATGCGCGTGGCGGGATCTCACGTAATCTCATATAACCAGGATTAAATTTCAAACGGGAAAGTTCTCATTTAATCCCTTCATTATACGTGTCTAAAAACTACAGCGAAGAGTCACGACCTATCGATCTGTTTTTGTTTTCTGAGGCAACAAGCATCACTACTGCTGGATAAATAATTTGTCGAGATTGGTTTACAACATTACAAAACATAAAAGTAAGAAACGTTTTTGTCGAAAGTGCCTGTGCCATCATAGAACGCAAGTTTAATTAGATAGACACATGACCGCGATTGTAATGGCATAAATTCACATCCGTCAAAGATTGTATTTCCTACCGCTAAGCGAAAATACGTAAAAAGAGAGTGGGTAGTCGACGAAAACGATCTGCCAATATTAGAATTTAAAAAGTACAGGTTTAAAAAAAAAACACCATTTGTAGTTTACGCCGACTTTGAATCGATATTAGAAAAAAACTCGGACGATAAAAAGGACAACACGCAAAAGACAAACATTCACAAAGCAAGCGGTTACACTCGTTGGTAGTAGTTAGATGCGACGGCACCAATGCGTATCAAGATACTTATAGAGGTAAAGATGCTGCATCAAAGTTTGTAAATAAAATGTTAAAAATACAAAGCGACATAAATTGTATATTTAAAAAAACCCAACCCATGAAATTTAACGAGCGAGCTAAAGAACATCATAATAAAACAAACGCGTGTTGGATTTACGAAACACCAATTTATCCCAATTACTCGAGCAACTGTCAGTGCCAAGAAACCCCCCCCCCAAAAAAAAAAACCAGAAAAACGAATCAGTACGAAAACAAAAATGGATTTATCGAGTCTAAATGTCTCGACTGTAAAAAGAGAATCAACAAATTTAGAAAGGTGAGAGATCACTGTCACGTCACGGGTAGATATAGAGGTGCCGCGCACGCCTACTGCAATCTAATAATTACAAGTTAAACCAGGTTTTACCCCCATACCGGCCGACTTTCACAATCTACAAAATTACGACGCTCACTTGATCATGCAGAGTATTTCAGAGTACGATGATGAAAAGGAAATACAAGTTATCGCTCAAAATTCGGAAAAGTATATTTCGTTTTCGATCGGAAATATGCGATTTTTAGACTCGTTTAATTTTGTGGCGTCTTCGTTGGATAGATTATCTAAAGCTTGTCCAAGAGAGTCGTTTAAACTACTCAGAGAACATTTTAATCGTCAAAACACCGACTCGTTGTTATTGGATACAAAGATTTTAAATGGTACACCACAACACAATTTACCGCGGAAAAAATATTATCTCTCAGGAAAACGTCAAACACTGGTTACTGTTTTGAAGTAGATTAAGAATACCCAGACGATCTTCACGATCTGCACACCGATTACCCGCTAGCGCCAGAAAATATCGTCATACCAAAAGAATGGATGTCTGATTATCCAAACGATTTATTGGATACCGAACCTAGTAGCAACGTGCAAAAATTAACGTGTACCCTTAATCCTAAACAAAAATATGTTTTGCACTACGTTACGTTGTAGTTGTATCTGAAACTCGATTTGAAACTTAAAAAGGTGCATCGAGCGCTACAATTTAAGCAAATGCCTTGGATGGCAACTTACATCGACAAAAACACGCAACTCAGAACAAAAGCGACCTCTGATTTTGAGAAAGACTGTTAAAACAGTCTTTCTGTTCATCAACTTGATGAACAACAGCGTGTTTGGTAAGACGATGTTTGGTAAGACGATGTTTGGTAAAACAGCGTGTTTGGTAAGACGATTAGTTTAACCGCCTGTGACGGTGCTTTAGCTAATAATCTTGTAGTTTCGTCGTTTATTGCCTGGATCACGCCGGGTAATCGCTCGACCCATTGCGTGTTTCTACTCTCGGGATTAAACATTTCTTGAGCGTACTGATGACCAAACAGTCTCTCGGCTAGCGTTCGATTAAATCTTTCTACGATAACCTGCGATCGGTGGTTTCCGGGTTCGCCTACGATAATCTCGACGTTTTTTTAGGTCATCAATTGTTTAAAAGCGTCTTTAAATTCGGTGTCTACTCTCAACGTTTAAGGATGGGGATGCTCACGTGGGTGCAACAACGGTAAAGATGAAGCTTTCGCGAATGCCTGTGGTAACAGATATTGTATTCCCCTGGACATTGACATACTGACTTCACATCACCCTTTTTACTCCAGCGGTTTAAACCAACCTCTGACGTACGAGAGAAAGTTTAACGATCACGAAAAAGTCGTCAACAGTACAGATACGTCGGCGATGTATTTTATCTCAGATTTGACTCTCGAATACGAAGTGGTGACCAACAGAGACCTAGCTATCGCCGTCAAAAATAAATACCGGGGTTAAATGCAATACCTGTTTGATAAAATCCACTCGCTGGAAGTTAGATCCGTCAACAAATTGGACACGCTTTAAAAATAAGGCAAAAATGCTCTTATAACGTTTAATCGTTATAAGAGCCTTTTGCTTTGAGATTAAAACTTTTGTTTATTGCTTGTTTGATTTTCTTTTAACGTTTTGCAGGCTAACACGCAATTAATTTTAACGTGCCCGATCGAGTTATTTAAACGCTCAATCGTTCCCATATCACCGCCATAACGATCGTATTGTAAAACGACTCGGCAATCATCGTAATAACAATGTTTGTAGTCTTCAGTAAGACCTCTTAAAAAGTCAGTATCGATAAAGAGGTCTGGATTAAATAAATTTTTATTTTTATCGTAGCGGCGGCAACTCCTGATCCATCTCGAAATAGTGAAGTCTACAGCCTTACCATCATCACTCTTACATTCTCGACATTGCCCTTGGATGCGATTGTGGCAACATACACTAGAACCGCCGCAATCTTTACATCTGTTATGTTGACGACCGTGTGTACAGATACAAGAACCACCGCAATCTTTACATAAGCTGCGTATTTTACCGTGTGTACAGATACTAGAACCACCGCAATCTTTACAATAGTAGCGTTGATGTCCATGTGGACAGATACCAGAACCGCTGCAATCTTTACATATGTCGCGTCGGCGACCGTGTAGACATTGTCGTTGTTGTTTCATTTTACTTCTACACTCAGCGCAGATTTTGTATTTTTCACGGTTTGGTTTGATGCTTAGATCGTCACTTTTACAAACTTTACAAACGTTTGATTGCGAATAATAATGCGAATAATTTTTGGTTTATTTCATCCCTACACACGATACAAGTCTTATAACTTTCACCATTTGATTTCATACCACATTGATTAAGCTTGCATGTTTTATGACATTAAACACAAACGTTTAATATTTTCATTGTTTCTATTTATTATATGATAATAAAATAATTTTAAAAAATCTTTTTCTTTTAGCACCTTTTAGCAGGTTTTTAAACAAATGTAACCTAGCTCGTCAACAAATATGACCTAGCTCGTCAACAAAATACAAATGTATTGCTGTAAGTAAATGATAGCAATATTCGAGTATTTACAATTTCTGGCTATTATAATTTTCTCGATTAATCTACAACTTTGTTGCTTCAGCGACACTAAAATTAAACTCCTTTCTAATTAGATTGGAGGACCAAAAACTTGCATTAACGAACGAACAAGATCAAAACACAGAACACAAAGATCGTTTTTGCGGTGTCGTAGCAGCCGGAAACTCATGAAAGTACTTGGGAAAGGAATATACCGTTAAACATACCGAAGCTCTTGACAGTAAAGAAATCGAGAAGCTGTACCATCTGTACGAAACTAAATTTGGAAATGAAACTGTTCAAACTGTTTGTAAATATACTTTTTTATTTTCGAGAGTGTTATCCATTGTTACACCCGTACAAGTTTTAGTTCTCAATAACATGATTTGGCGTAGACGAGACGAAATCTAATACTCCTGGTCAAAAAGTATGCTCATTGTTTGAATTTGTTTGGACTAAATTTGAAATTGTTTGACATAAGACGAAATTAAACATTGGAAAATGTATTAAATCGATGTTGCCGGACAAAGGACGAAATTAAAACATTGGAAAATGTACTAAATCGATGTTGCCGGACGAATTGAATATAAGAATCGGTGAATTCGAACGAAAAATGTTTTTATAAAGCACGCGTATCCACCATTATTGGTGCTCAAGCTGCTACATCGTTAACCCTGCTTATTGGGCCAATGAAACATTCCAAATACCATCTCGCTCCCTGGGGAGTATACAGCTTGATGCTGCCATTTCGGCCAAAAGCAACTAAAACAATCACAATAACCATCTCTGCCTTCACAGGTACCCATTTACTCCTGGGTGGAGAGAAGCAATGAGTGACAAAGTGTCGTGCCTAAGGGCACACACACCACAAACCCACTAGGTGAAAATTGTTTCCTGGTTCCATTGGGTTGAAACTTGGTATGTACCTAAAACGGGATGTGTTATATTACATTGTATATGAAAGTTTAAGTGACGTCATCGTGTGTCATGTGATGTCACGTTGAAGATGCATAATTTGAAGCCCTATGAAAATGGCATCATGTATTATTGTATGACACCACCCTCAATTGTACACATCCCAATATCTAATGCAATGGATGAAACTTGTACTTGTAACTGTACGTGCCAGATATCACCAAAAACAATTGCTGAGACAGCCCTGTGTTAGTTCACTAACATTAGAAAAATATCAATTAAATATTCAAATAGCCCAGACATAATTGAATTCATAAACAAAAACATACAGTTGTCCTTGACAATCTGTGAATGACCCTCTTTGGACAGAAATAACCTAGCTTGTAGGGATTAGGGCAGCGGTGTTGCATGAATGCATAAATTCTGTCCATACTTACATGGTATGGTAATAGCTCTATTGATGAATATTAATTCAATAGATGTACTTAACCATTGGGTTCTTGTTTTGGTTTCCCCAGTTCAAATTTCTCCCAG